GAGGTCGGGTCTCCTCCTCCTCCACCGGCGCCAGCGCCGCTACCTCGTGCAACCCAGGTGGCGGCAGCGGCGGTCCAGACTTGCCGCGCCGAAGTCATCGCCGCCAGGTATGCGTGAGTTTTGTTTTTGTTTCTCGCGTCCCGTGAAAAATCGAATTTCTCTGTTAGGTCGTTGGGACACATGCAGCTCCAGCACATGCTGTTCTTGCGTGCGTCTTGTCTTGGAGTCACGGACGACGCAAAATTGGGAAGGGGTAATCATCCGTACGTTTGCAGAGGGAAGGGGATGGTAAGTCGTCCCTGGGTTCTTGATCGGGCTGGTGCAGTAGCGGGTGCGGGCCAAGCCTTGCCGATGGCCCTAGTAGTCCAAACGCAGCCTTCCATGCGAAAGTAAGATGTCAGAGGTGAGTCGAGGGCGGCACCAAAACATGACGCCGCTGTATCGACATCCTGCGATAAATATGTCCCACACGTACCCCCCGCGGTTCGTATTTAACGACGGCAGCTTTCGAGTGGCAGCGGTGGCAGCAGCAGCGGCAGCATCTCGGCCGCCGGGGAGCTGGCGGGGGCGGACGAGTTCCCTGCCGGCGGGAGCGGCGCCGGGCGGGGCTCGGGTGTCTACCGTTACGATGACGCGGGCGCGTGCGTTCGCGCGGGGGCGGGGTTGGAGGCCGCGAGGTTGGCGGAGCACGGGGGGGACGGGCATTTCACGGAGGGGGCGGGGGCGGGAGCGGGGGTGGGGGCGGCGGCGGCGGTGCGGAATCACCGGCACTCTCTGCCGCCCAGCATCGTGAGGCGGAACTCGACCTCGACCATCTACCTGGCTGCGCACGACACGCTGAGCGATCCGGACCTAGACGCGACGATCCGGTGCGTGTGCGCCGTGCTGCGCGCTCACATGATCGCCGCTTTGGCAGACGGGCGTGAGGATGACGGCGGTGGCGGTACCGGTACCGGTACCGGCGGCGGCGGCGGTGGCGGTGGTGACGGCGGTGGCGGCGGAAGCAGCGTATCTCGAGAAGGGGGCGGCGTGTGGGTCGGGGAGAGGCGGGACTGTTGGCGAGGGGTTAACGTCAAGGTGTTCGACGACCCCATGGAGGAGGGGTCGCACGCGCCGGCGGCAGTGCCTGAAGGTGGCGGCGGCAGAGAGGCGGACGAGGCGGCGGGCGAGGCGGTAGTGGTTCCGCCGCTTCGTGACATCACGGCGTTCTACCGGGACCTGTACCACCGCACCTGCCTCAAGTTCGACTCCATCGTCCTGTCCCTTATCTACATGGAGCGACTGATGAAGGTGAGACAGTCTGTGTGAGCGGCGGCACACCTCCGTACTGCTGTCCGTGATGGAGAACCCAGAGCGTCCAAGTGGTGTGATTGGTCGGAAGAGAAGTACGATTGTGTAGGCGTGTCTCTCGCGTGGGTTAGGTGCGAGGCGGCGTTCTTGCGACGTGCGTGCGGCACCGAGGAGGAATGGCGATGATCTCAGTCCGCACGCCCTCCGACGCGACAAGTCGGTTCATGTTCAGGAGACAAGTCGCCCACCCTGGTGGGTGCCGATGTTGCTTTCAGCCGCGCGGCAGCAACTGAGACGATGGACGAAGAACCACGAGGTTTTCATCAGACTCCCTGTGGCGGATGATGCCTTCCTTCCTCGAACGTGCTCACTCGCGGTCAGCACAAGGGCTTGCTGTTACCTACCCTATCCTCCCAGTCCTTCATCCCGTTGCTCCCCCAATCCCCCGCCCCCCGCCCCCGGCCCCCCCCCCCCAGGAGACGAAGGGGGCGATACGGCCACAGCCGTGGAACTGGAAGTCGCTCATAATCTCCGCTCTGGTGCTGTCGTCCAAGGTTTGGGACGACAACAGCATGTGGAACCGTGACTTCAGCGAGGTGTTCCCGTCGTTCAGCCTTGGACGGCTCAACCAGCTCGAGGTTGCGGTGCTGGGAGTGCTGCGGGTGAGATTTGGTTGTCTTGCGTGGGTGCGTGTGTCTGTTTTTTTTACCGTTGATTGTTAGCATCGACCCGACCGCGCTAACCTGCTGACCATTGAAAAGACGTCAGTCTTGGGCAGTTCGGCTGGAAAACAGAAATTGCTCCGTGTGTGTGTGCAGGAAAAATATGGAAAAAATCTTCCTGTCATGTACAAGTAGCATACCACGTAACATGTGGTAAATAGTGTGCGGGATGGAAGAGTCATCGTGTTCCCTACGAGGAGGGTGGGGATGATCGCTCAACAACACGACCTTTCGTCCCGTCTTTTGTTGTGTTTCGCCAGTTCAACGTCAAGGTGCTGAGCAGCGAGTACGCCAAGTACTACTTCCATCTCAGGTGTGTGTGCGGCGAAGTTGACTGCTGTTGCGTTGGCCCATGGTTCCTCTTTCTGTTCTTCTTTAGCATCTGGGTGATGGAGCGGTTTTCATTTTTTTTTTCAGCCAATGACACGAGATTGCTGCATTTCCTGTCGCGTTCAGCTGACTTGTTACCTCCACACCGTGGCTGCTCCGTTTCGCTCGTACGCCAGGCTCCCCTTCCCCCCACCTCCCCCCACCCCCGCTTTGCGCCATCGGTGATCGGTCCTGTGGGAACAAATCTCCGTCCTCTCGAGGACGCCTGTTCAATGGTCTAACAGCTAAGGCGTGCAAAACCCTCCCCCCGATGCGCATGCGCACAACTCCCTGCCGCCTCCCGTTATTTCCAGGGCGATGTGCGTGAGAGGAGGCCTGTCAGATTCCCACGCACCCATTCACCCGCTCGACATGGAAGGCATCAAAGAACTCGAGGTGCGCGGTCGCACTCTGCTGCGGCGTTAGCTGCCTAGCTCAAGCGTTCTCTCCTCCCCCTCGCAGTGCATTGCCCTTACGTTTCTTATTTCCCTTGCTTGGCATGCAATTCCTTTGTTTTTGTGTTCGATCGATGGTTCAGCAGCCTTGGCAGGGGCTTTCGATTACGTAAACATGTTGGATGAAGCATACCATCGGTGAAGTTGGGTTAGGGTTGGGGTTAGGGAATATGGTCTGCGTCCCCCCTCCGTGTTGTAGCATTTACTGATAAACTTGTTAAAATCTCGCGAACGCGGTCCTCCTCGCTGCTGTGTGGGAAGTACAGGCGAGTTCAGACGGTGCGGTGCAAGCATGTATGTATGTGTAAATCCGGCCGCGTCTGATCCGATGACGTTGAAACACACTCCGCGTTTCACGTGTCTTTTTCCCTTTTATGATTCTCCTATTAGTAATAGCAAATGTAGCAGCAGTCTTCCCACACCCGCGAAGAAGTTTTTGGTGTCCGTGTATTCCCTCCAGAATCCCATCGCGAAAGCGCTGCTGCGGTAGTATCGTCGCCGTTCGCCGTTGTCAGCTTGTGACCGAACCCCAACCCTCCCCCCGGTGGTATGCATACATATATATATATATATATTTTTTTTTGTGGCAAGGTCGTCGGCAATTGCTGTGTTTTGCGTGCTTGTAGCTGTTTTGGTGCAATACCCCCCTGTCCGCGTAGGCCCCGAGCCCGAGTGTTGCTGTTGATGGTGGGACAAAGATTTTCAAGATTTCCTGCCGTTTTTTTCGCTGAGCGCACCGCGAAATGCATTCACTGGCGAACCTGCTCTCGAGTATGCCTGGATTTGTCGGCGCGGGAAACTCCAGAACACGCATGCGCCACCCTTTCTTCCGGTCGCGGTTGGTTGACAGTCGGCTCTTCGTTTTGGTACGTTTCTGCATGCGTGTATCCGTGTGATCTTCTTGCGTGACTGCAGCATGTTTAATATGGGATGAGAATCGCCAATAATGCCGCCTTCGCTCCCGTGCCACTGCTGCACCCCCCCCCCCCCCCCCCCTTTTTTTTTCTCAAAACATGTCTTCCAAACTGGCTCGCGATTCTGTCGGGGAACGAAACCGTTCGTCAAAGGCCATGTCTCTGCACAGCGCGAACGACGCCAAGCTGCTGAGGAAGGTAATGAGTCCTGTCCATGCATCCGTCTACCTCTGTTACGCCGCCCCAACTCCGGAAGAAGAAATAATGCAGAGAAATTGTCGTAGATTTTGTTGTTTCAGTTATGGCAGGCAGAGGAAGACGGCGATGCTTGTGCCTACCTCACTGCGCGCGTGCAGTAACCGGGCGCCGTTCTGAATCACAGTCCGAACGGAGCGCCGCGTGGAGATACGTTGCTCTGTCGATGTGACAGGAACGCCGCTGGGTGTCGCTTTTTTTTTGTTTTTCTTCTTCTTAATATGACATATCGAATCCATCTCTAAAAGAGTCTAAGATAGATGAGCAATGAATCCATAGCGTTTGCCTTTTCTGAGAAGAATCGTGCCGAAGGATTTCCCTGGTTGAAGCCTGAAAATGAAGAGTATGACGTGGCTACTGGACGGACGGGCGTGGTGTCTGGTAGAGCCACCCTTCCCGCCACTTACAAGTTGCCTCGCGGACCCAGAGAACAAAGCGATGCCACGGGGTCGCCGTGTTTGTCTTGTGTGTTGAACGAGACAGCGAATCATCATCCCGAAGCGTAGCGTATGCATGGCATGACACGTGGAGGGCACTCCGAACAAGCTCGGTTGTTTGCACAACAGTTACGAGATGTTGGCTACGGTACTGCGGCCCCTCCGTTTCGCGGCGGAATGGTTGAAACACCCCTCGCTGACCCCCTCCGCTTCCAAAGCTCGCACTTGGCCGCGGTTTATTCATCGGGGATTTACTCCTCCTCCTGCTCCTGCTCCTCCTCCTGTTCCTCTTCTTCCTCCTCCTCCTCCCCTTTCTCTCTGCAGGTGGCGAAAAGCGGCTACGCCTTCACCGACAAGCATGGCCCTTCTCTCAGCCTCGAACAAGTGGTCAGCAGCAGCAGCGGCAGCAACCGCAACACCGCCACCAACAACAGCAGGCGACTCAGATAAACTAATAACGCGACGAGACCAGACAGACAGACAGAGACCAAACATCGTAATTTCGCAGTGGTCCTACCGGCAGTGTAGTTCCTCTGTGTTTGTTTTTATCAACGTGACACGACGGCCCGTTCGTGTAGTTCAGTAATCCCCCTTGGAATTTTTCGAGGCAGAGAAAGAAAGGATGGGGAAACTTGTAAGGGTCCACAGATCGCAGGCGGTGCTTTTGACTGCTCCGTAGGCGCTTGTGGTTTTTTTGCAACAGAGGGGGGGAGAAAGAGGTGCATGAGAGAGGGACAGCGCGGACAGCGCTGGCAGAACATGGTGGTTAGATAGGCACCACCACGGAAGGGGTACGGAAAGAAGAGAGGAGAGAGAACGGCCGCGAGAGATGATTTGTTTGTACTCTTTTTTGTTTGTTTTTCCAATCCAAAGGTGTGTAAAAAATAAATATGTAAATGCCCAACACACACTTTTGAGTTGACAATTTTTTGCGCGCCAGGAGTATATTAACGGTGGTACCAGTATGACACCCCCCCCGCGAGGTAATATGTTGTCATTCGTTATATTGTCTGGAAGAGCTCGCGCTTGCCAAGCTCACAAATAGCTCCATTCACTGCTTTTTTCCAGGAGGTGAGGTAGGTTTGATTGTCCCCCCCCCCCACCCTCCACCCCGCACGACGATTTGTTACTGCTGCTGTACATTTATGTGTTTTCTTTTCATGTTTTTTATTTTTTTATACTGCAGGAGGGTAGTAGACCACCGTCCCTTTTTCCGTCCACCCAATGTTTTTCATTTTTCAGGTAGATCTATGATATCTGTCCTGTAGGTGTGTTTTTTTTTGCAGGTACATCCCGAAATAGGAGTGCGGCGGCGGGGTAAATTGTGGACAAGTCAGGACGGTGTCGCTGTGGGTGGCGTTTTTTGTTTTTGGTGGCTCTGTCTTTTTTAGTGCTGATTGTGTTTTGTCTGTAGCCCCCCTGTGTGTGTGTGCGATGGGCGCACGCGATGGCACGCGCACGTGTGTTTGGGAAAGGGGTCATTTTCCGGGCACTTTTAAGTGTAGCTAGCCTACCGGGAGAGGGCATGTGCTCTCGCCCACTCTACTGGTGTGCATGGCAAAGCACGGAGTTGTGCGTTTTGTCCCTGTGATACGGCGAATCATGTCGTTTCAAGTAATGTTGCGTGCGCGCGGACAGACATTTTTTCGCTCGCGGGCCGTTTGGGTGCGTGTCGTTCGTTTTCGTTGGTGTTGGTTTTTTGTCGCCTGCCTCTTGTCACGAGTGCCCCGTATCAGTACGAGGCTTGCATGCCCGCCCGGTATCACCTTGTCGTATGTAGTGCTGTAGCAAGAAGATGACCCGTGGTAGCACTTGCGAGCCCACACCATGAGACGCGTTTTTTATTGTTGGCGAATACATGTTGCGCACTTCCTACAGCACTACTGTAGTACTTGCAGAGGCCCGCGGGATCGGGGGGGGGGGGCGGAGAGGTTTGTCAGAATGTTCAGATTGTGGAGCGATTGCAAACAGAGTGCTAGAA